ATATATATATATATATATATATATATATATGTGTACGCATATACATATATATGTATATATGTATATGTATGTATGTGTGTGTGTGTGTGTGTGTGTGTGTGTGTGTGTATGTGTATCATTATCAAGGGGCTAACACCAACAGACGCATGGCCACATCTGCCCTTCGCTTCCAGCCATGAAGGTCCCTCATTGAGAGTCTCCAGGCAGGCCATCAGCCCATCTCAAACTCCTCACGACAGGTCTCATCAAGCTGCCCAAGCCCGGCAGCGACTGTGGTTTGTAATGGACCCTGAGTATTTAAAAAATCTTGCTTGAAGCATCATCAAAGCCAGTGGACACATGGCAAATATAAATAATAAAAAAACAATACTTCTAAGTTAGTTTTACATGGCAACAATTATTATTTGTTGCAGGGAATTGGCCAGGTTGCAAGGTTCTTTGATGATACTACATATATATATATATATATATATATATATATATATATATATATATATATATATATATATATATATATATATATATATATATATATATATATATATATATGGTAGAAAAACCCACAATGTAAAAAACTAGATTTATTGAAGATGAGATGACAGTTTCGGAATCAACACGGTAGAGTGTTTTCTTCATTCATATATATATATATATATATATATATATATATATATATATATATATATATATATATATATATATATATATATATATATATATATATATATATATCAATATATATCAATATATATCAATATATATATATATATATATATATATATATATATATATATATATATATATATATGTATATATATATGTATATATATATGTATATATATACATATGTATATATATACATATGTATATATATATATATATATATGTATATATATATATATGTATATATATATATATGTATATATATATATATATGTATATATATATATATATGTATATATATATATATGTATATATATATATATGTATATATATATATATGTATATATATATATATATGTATATATATATATATATGTATATATATATATATATGTATATATATATATATATATATATATATATATATATATATATATATATATATATATATATATATATATATATATATATACAGTAAGTCCCCAACTTAAGAACATAATGGAGACCGAGAGGCTGTTTGTAAGTCGATTTGTTTGTATGTTGAAAGTCAGGTCTCCTTTACCTTTTTTCCCATTGTTTTAAAGTTTTGTTTACATTAAGAATACCTGTAAATAAATCCCAATACCTGTACTATGTAATGCTTTTAATATTATTTGTTGGTCATTCATACAACTTTAATGTAGAAACATAAATTATTCAAAAAGAAAATATATTGTAGTGGTGATGGCAGGCGACTGAGGAGAGTGATGTGCACAGCTGAGTGAGCGCGGCAGCGCCACGGAGTAGCAGACTCGTAAACTATATTCGTGAATGGGAAATTTGAATATGAATTTGTAACTATGTTTGTGTGTGTGTTGGTGGCAATGAAAAACCACGCCAGACTGCCTGATGTGTGATTGACTGGCAGCAGGGTTTTGCGAGACTCTGGCATGGTAATTGACTGCCTGAGTGTGACTGACTGGTGAGGTGTCCGAAATGGGATCAGTGAGCAAGAGTGTGTGGCAGCAGCTGTGACTTGCACAAGTGACAGCATGATTCTGTTGGGTTATAGGAGAAGTATAAGGCTGTGTTGAAGCTGTGTGTGTGTGTATGAAGTGACCACCTTTTCCCGATGTGACATGCGTTTTGTCACTAAACTCTGTGGACTGCAATAAACTGTGGACTGTTACTTGCCTGTCATTTCATATCCCTGCAAACACTTGTCTGAGGCTGCTCACCAAACCCAGTAGAACAGACAGTAAAGGAGTGCAGCATCCTGACACATAGGAAGCTGTGTGAAGCACTTAGTACTGGCAACCTGTGTGACCTGCCCCACACTCCACACCTTCCCCTCCTCTCTCCCCTTCACCCTCACCAAATACAATGTGCATCCCTAAAGTCCAGCTTGCAGCTAGGAGGCAAGGTTTGGACTATGATGAAAAGGCATACAAGCTAGTCTAAGAGGTGCAGCTGTGGAGGTGTTGGAACACTTAAACTGCTGCCCAAATGTGATCATATGTCTGCACTGCAAGGGCCCTGTAATCCCACTTTGGTTATTGCCAGCAACCAGAGGTGTGCCGGGCCTAACTCAAAACATGGACAAGGAGGCAGGACGAGCCCCTTCTGCAGCTGGCACAAGATTTCAAGGTGTTTGTGTGGGGTGTATATTCAATGGCCACAATAGAGATCACTGATATGCTGGCCAAGGACAGCTTTGTGGATGCACTGTATAACAAACAGTTTCAGCTCCACATGAAGCAGGCAGGGCCGCACATCGTGCAGGAAGATTAGCGCATGCGGGCGAATTTGAGGCATTCTTGCTTACCTCCACCCTGAGTTACCCTATGTCTATGTTTGCATAGCCCCCACCACATTCAGATGAGGAAAACCCAGGATGGGAGATCCCTTCTCTCCAGAAGAGCAAACCCTGATGGCTTTCGAAGTAATTGCTGGAGGTGTGGACAGAAGGGACACCAGAGGAACCAGTGTAACAACAGTGCCAGAGAACTTGATGGAGGACTACCGCTGCCCAATCTTCCAATCTTGTTGCTGGGTGTGCGGGAATGAGGGTCACTTGACTAATCATTACCAGCGAAAAAAAAAGTATGACGGGAAACATGGCTCAGCTATGAGCTGGGGTGGCTGCCCAGCATGACACCACATTGCCCCAGCCAGCATAAGGTTGCATCAGGTGGCAGCAGTGCTCACAGCCATGAGTGGCTGGCCTATTCAACGGGTGCCCTATGGAGATGGTGGTAGACCTTGGATCTGAGACAACATTTGTCGGGGAAAATTTGGTTGCACCCTGTGTTGTTCCCAAGGCCAACCAAAAATTATGTGGCATTACTGGTGACTGTATGGCAATGAGATGCCCAGTGTGGGTAAGCCTGAGTGTGGATAAAGTGATGGAACGCCTGCCAGTATTTGTAGTCGAGATGGAGGATATCTGCTTGCTGAGGCTGGACACCCTGAGAGCACAATAAGAAGAGGAAGCCAAGCTAGTAGTGCAACAAGAAGCAGTAGCCAGCCATGTTGAGGACTTTATGCTGCAAAGTGTCAAGCACCTAACTAGTGAGCAGGCAAAAAAAGTACAGTGGGTGCTTATTCAGTATGTAGACATGTTTGGCCAGGGGGATATTGACTTGGGACACACATTGATGGTGAAACACCACGTCTACAGCGGCTGGCATTACACAACTTTCAGACAGTCCATGGTGTTCCACAGTGGTACTAGTGACAAATCAAAAAGGACAGCACGTGCTTTTGTGTGGACTACCAAGCTCTGAATGCCATCACCATCACCAATGCCTACCCCTTGCCTCAAACTGACGACATGCTGGATGTGCTCACTAGGGTTCAATGGTTTTCCAAACTGGACCTCAAGTCTGGGTACCATCAAGTGGAAGAGGCAAAGGAAGATAAAGAGAAGACTGCTTTCTCCTTTGGTCAGGGGCTGTGGCACTTTCATGTCATACCTTTCAGTCTGTGTAATGCCCCTCGAAGTATTGAGCACCTAATGGAATGATTACTGGAGGGGTTGCAGTGGAAGCTGACCTTGGTATATCTGGACACAAATGTTGGTGTTTGGGACACCTTTGAAGAGGAGCAGGAGCACTTGACAGAGGTGCTATGTTGTCTCAAAGCCATAAAGTTCAACCCCAAGAAATGCACCCTTTTCCATACCGAAGTACCTGGGACACGTGGTGGGCAGACAAGGGGTGCAGACGGACCCACTGAAAGTGTCAACAGTGGAAGGCTGGCCAGTGCCAAGGACTGTAACAGAGCTGAGAAACTGTCTCGGGCTGTGCACATAGGAGATTTGTGCAAGATTTTGCCACCATAGCCATACTGTTGCATCAGATGACTTGGAAGGGAGCTAGCTTTATGTGGGATGCGGCATTAATCACGTAACTCGGATCAGTGTCAAAGGTCCCGATTTTTCCTAACGTTATTTCCATTAAATTTAGTCGCATAACTCGGAGACTACAAGTCAGATTTTCGTACAACTTGGATGGAATTTCCAGTCACGATGTAATGCATTTGCATTAAAATCACATCGTGTAAGTCGGATGAGGTTTGGCTTTACATCAGTACTATAAAACATAGCTGTATCATACGCTCATTGGATCACAGACTGCTCAAGACATCTATGGTAAGTGACCTTAATTATTAGTAGCGCCGGAGTGTCAGGGCCTTGCAGTCAGCTGATCTACGCATCCCTGTATTGTTCTTAACTGACCGCATACTGCGAAAGACGCACGAGCCACGTGCTGCCAGACTTCATTAATCATAATTTTCTGTAAGTCGGATAAAATTCACTGGTGCCTTTTCATCCGACTTAGGCAATTTCTACGGTGTATATATATATATATATATATATATATATATATATATATATATATATATACATATATTTGTCTATATGTCAATATATATATATACATACATACATATATATATATATATATATATATATATATATATATATATATATATTTATATGTTTATATATGTCTATATATGTCTATATATGTCTCTCTCTCTCTCTCTCCCTCTCTCTCTCTCTCTCTCTCTCTCTCTCTCTCTCTCTCTCTCTCTATATATATATATATATATGTATATATATATATAAACAGCAGGTCTAGAGTAAATAAATATTCAGGCTAATATTTCAGTAAGATAAGATATACCAGATGCCTTTGAGATGCAATACTCTTTATAGGCCTAAGTTCAACTTCATATTACTTATTAACCAATATCCACATAACATGCTACATAAAAAAAAATAAATAATAATAATAATATAATATTAATAATAATAATAATAATAATAACACATAAAGGAAAAAAATACCTACTTGTTCAGTGAGATCCTGGGCAGAAAGTCTTGACAAAAAATGTATATCACTAAATGAAATATCTGGAGGCATCCAAGGTTCCTGAAGATAGAAAAGGAGACGCACCGTGAAGGAGGTCCCTGCAAATGGCATGGTCACCAGCAACTCATCACTGGGTTTACCATTGAATGTAGCTTCACCATTCTCACTCTCTGTCCTGTGCCACACTGCCAGAGTTTCTGAAGCCCCAGATATTTCTGCTAGGTCACTACACAAACCTAAGGTGAAAGTGATAAAACTTGTTGTATTGGTACATACATGATCATTTACATTCCCCTCTTTCTTTCTTTGTATAAGATCTTGCACAAGATGTGAAAAAACAAAAAAAATCAAGTATTCTAATATGACAATCATACCTGTCTTTTGATAATTCAATCAGCATATAACAACCTGATCAGTAGAAGTTAGTAATGAAATTAAAGTTTGTTTTTTTCAATTATCTTATAACACGCCTCACTGAATATGCTGTAGGTTCTCCTTAGCTAATAGTTTGGTCCTTTTATTACCACAAACTTAACCCATTGCTGCCATGGAAAATGAATAAAAAATGGGGAAAATGCTGTGCTTATTTTTTAGGATTTTTTGTGAAATGTCTCTACACATAGATGGCTCTGCTAGTGCTTAGCCTTACCTGATTTCACCTTTCCTTGAATTGGGGAGAAAATGTATTTTTTACTAGTCTCATGAATATCGATGGTGTTATTTTTACTATAAACATTATAATTACTATAATGTTATAAACATTAGTAATAGCAAAATAAGATAATGTAAAATATTTTTGTAAATTAAAGAAAAGGGTAAATGGGCGAGACAGGCAGTACTTGTAATTGGCTCATATGACCTAGTATAGGTGTAGCCATCAATGTGTAAAAACATTTAAACAAATAGACTCACAGTGGGCATGGCATGACATGCCCATTGGCAATGGGTTAACAAAATTACAGAATGCTTTAAGAGGTGTATTAATTCTTAAAAAACACATATATACTTCTGCTCATTATCTATTTAGTCTATTTACTTGAAACATTATTGAAATGTTCATAAATCTGATACAAAAACCTTAAAAACACCTACCTGGGAAGCCATTGATCTTCAAATATTCTACTTGGCGAATAAACTGTTCCAGGGTACCCTTTGCAAAGGCTACATGCTGATCCATTGAGTATTTTTCTTCTTCTTTTCATGTGTGTCTAATCTGTAAAAAAAAAAATATAAATACATATATATATATATATATATATATATATATATATATATATATATATATATATATATATATATATATATACATACACATACATGAATATATATATATGTGTGTGTGTGTGTGTGTGTGTGTGTGTGTGTGTGTATCCCCTTGATGACAGGTGAAGGAAGGAAGAAAGAAAAAAGAAAAGAAAAAAGAGAGAAAAGAGAGAGAGAGAGAGAGAGAGAGAGAAAAAAAAAAAAAAAAAAAAAAAAAAAAAAAAAAAAAAAAAAAATCAATAGCAACACGCCGACTTTGAGCATGGGAGTTCAGTACATCAATCAAAATCTCCAGCTCGTAGCGCTTTGGGGCTCCACCACGGCATACAGCCGCACACCACAGATCGAACGGTTTGTTTTGACACCTAATGGCATGACCCATCAGGAAGAGATTAAATATGTACGTGTGCATATAAATATATATATATAAATATATATATATATATATATATATATATATATATATATATATAAATATATATATATATATATATATATATATATATATATATATATATATATATATATATATATATTATAAAAGAAAAAAAAAAAAAATATATATATATATTTATATAAATAAAAATATATATAAAAAAAAAAAATATATATATATACACACACACACACACACACACACACACACACACACACACACATATATATATATATATATAATATATACACATATATATGAATATATGTGTGTGTGTATATATACATGTATGTGTATATGCATGTACAGTAAGTCCCCAACTTATGGACATAATGGGGACCGAGAGGCTGTTCGGAAGTCGATTTGACTGTATGTTGAAAGTCGGGTCTCCATTGCCTTTTTCCCCGTTGTTTTAAAGTTTTGTTTACATTAAGAATACCTGTATATAAATCCCAATAAGTACGACATACCTTATACAGTACCTGTAATATGTAATGCTTTTAATATTATTTGATGGTGATTCATACAACTTTAATGTAGAAACATAATTTATTCAAAAAGAAAATATATTGTAGTGGTGACAGGCAAATAAAAAACTCTACGCTCTGGCAAACAATGGCAGTGCGCCGACTGGCTCGCCGCGTACAGCCGCACGGCACTTTTCGTGTGGTTTCTTTTCACGACTAGCGCGTCACCCGTCGTGAAAGGGATAATATTATTTGGTGATTTATACAACTTTAAATGTAGAAGCATAATTTATTCAAAAAGAAAATATATTGTAGTGGTGACTGGCTGGCAAACCGATTGATAAGATCGATAAAGTTATAGCCTGACATTTATTGGCAATTCCACTGGCTTCTCTGTTTATCTTTCTCTTCACACCCGACATTTTTGATGGACTGATGCGAATTATGAGAAGAGATGCTTTCGTGTTTATAGCAGGAGGGCAGGCGAGTGATGCTATATTTGAAGTTTGCTAGCATCTTTCAAACAATTTTTTTGACTTAAGTATTTTTTTTTTAAATTTGTATGTATGGAATGTGCGCAAGTAGAATGTTCTTAAGTCGGGGACTATCTGTATATGTGTATATATATACAGATAGTCCCCTACTTAAGAACATTCTACTTCCGTACGTACAAACTTTTATTTAAATACTTATGTCATAAAAATTGTTTGATGCATGCTAGTAAACTTCAAATTTCCCAGGTGCGAATATAGTTCACGAGTCTGCCGCGCTCACTCAGCTATGGCATCACTCGCCTGCCCTCCCGCCATAAACACAAAAGCATCTCTTCACTGTGTCCTTGTGTACAGACCATTTTTGTGCCATAATTCGCTTTACCTGTGCATCAATCCATCAAAAATGTCGGGTGTGAAGAGAATGATAAACTGTGAACCGAGTGGAAGTGCCAAGAAACGTCAGGCTATAACTTTATCGATCTTATCAATTGGTTCACCAGCCAGTCACCACTACAATATATTTTCTTTTTGAATAAATTATGTTTCTACATTTAAAGTTGTATGAATCACCATCAAATAATATTAATCCTTTCACGACAGGTGACGCCACTACGCGTGAAAAGAAACTGCTGGAAAAGTGGCGCGTGGCTGTACACTGCGGTGGCACGCTAAAGCACGGTGAGCCAGTGATTCGGCCTGATGTACTGAAATCATGTGCTCAAAGCCGGGCGCTGCCAGTGTTTGCCAGAGCGTAGGGTTTTTTATTTGCCAGTCACCACTACAATATATTTTCTTTTTGAATAAATTCTGTTTCTACATCAAGGTTGTATGAATCACCATTAAATAATATTAAAAGCATTACATATTACAGGTACCGTATATGGTATGTCGTCCTTATTGGGATTTATGTACAGGTATTCTTAATGTAAACAAAACTTTAAAACAATGGAGGCAATGGAGACCCGACTTTCAACATACAGTCAAATCAACTTCCGAACAGCCTCTCGGTCCCCATTATGTCCATAAGTTGGGGACTTACTGTATATGTATAGATGTGTGTATACATATGTGAATATATATATATATATATATATATATATATATATATATATATATATATATATATATATATATATATATATATATATATATATATATATAGTTTTACTGAAAATTATGTTGTCGTCTTGTTTCTATTTTTATAAAACCTATTCTTATAATTGTTCAGAATCCCTATGCTCACTCAAACATGATGATACTCTAACCCTCTACTACTTGTATTTAATAATTACAAAATAATAATTGTCACATGTGCATAGTAATACATCAACTACTTGACAGAACGCTGTACGGAGTTAGGCAGTTATGGTAGTGTTTATCATTGCAATGTAAACATGAGGGGCTTACAAAAAAAAAAAAAAAAAAAGGATTGATCTTTCATCTCTGGCATATATCTTATACATTTTTTATTTGTGCACCTTTTGCCACAGATGAAAAAAATAAAAATGTTTCAGTTTATATGAAGGTAACCCTTCCACACCTTTTTCTTCTTCATCCACTAAAAAAAAAATCCAGACTAAGTCCCTGTTACTCTAGCCTCTCCTAAGGATCCACAAATGTTGCTCTATGAACCAAAACACTTCCTAACCCAGGAGCTTCACCCCCACCCTATTGTTGTATACCCCTATCTGGGACTCTACTCCCAGATCCCTACCTAATCACCATGGACATACTCATTGCGAGATAGTAAATGGGCACTACCATCTTATAGAACATAAAAGAGAGTAATAAACACCACAAGTACTGCAGGTGCTGCTGCTCCGGCCCTATATTCAGTGTGACATGATGAAAATTCCTTCAGCTTATCACCACTCAGAGGCCACAACATCCTCACACAGCCAAAGCTCTTGATGTCTGTTTTCTATAGGTTGGCACAAAATGCTAATAAAGTGGGTACATGGGGACTTGTCTAGGGAATAAATAGAAGGTATGAAATTTAGGTTTGGATTTTGGGTTTGAAAGATACCCTGGTTTTCTGACTTCGTCTCTGGAAGGTGCATCGCTCTCAGCAACAAACACCTTATTTTCTGCCATTTCATCCATTAAAGACACAGTTTGGATTGTGCCATATGGCTGCGTGAAACAAGCAAGCCCTAACCTTTTTAAGACCTCTCATTGCATCGAATGACTTAGTTTTTAAGCCATAAGTCGTGACGTAATATGTTTGTTGTTTTGACACAGTATATATACGTATGTATTAGTTTTTTATAATATTTTTATCAGTCTTGGGAAGAGAGAATCCTAGTTTCTTTGAATTCAGAGAAATTACCTTTCTGCTTCGGACTTTTTGCATGAGAGTTCTTCTTCTTCTTCTTTCTTCTTTTATCGGGTTTTAGACTATTGTCTTGTCTATATCTCCTGAACCTATTTTCTCTTTGGACTTTTTGCAGGAAAGTTTACAACGACAACAAAAAATTGACTTCATTTATTTACGCATCACATAATAGCTATATTGCAATTCTTGAAATCATTACAACCATATGTTGACAATTTATTCACACAAATATAAATTAAGGCGTAGAATATTCAAATTCGTTTTTTTTTAATAACCTTATATTCCTTTACAAGTATAATGAACGAAAATATCAAAACACCATAATGTAATACGGTTACAAAGGGGGGGGGGCAAGGGAGGATTTCTTGCGACTGGATTCAATTGCAAAGCCAAGGCAAGAGTGACAAGGAGGGGTGGGACTAGGCCATTTATCTCTCCTGTGCCCTCCTTTTCAGTGGATATCACTTATGCATTATTGTATTCATAAAGGTCCATCCACACAACATACATATCCCAAGGGAACAACTTTCCAAACCCTTATAAACCCCAGTAAATCATTTTTAAAAATATCTTATTTCAGACATCCATGTCAGCCTATCTATACGTGTATTTGCACAAAGTGTAAATACATATGCCCCATGAATAGAAAATCCCTTCAAGCCCGCCCCCAAGCCTTTGAAAAGCCCGCGCTTCCGTCTGGAGCCGTGACTGGCCGGCGCTTAGCCTCCGGACCGATTGTATACGAATAGTCTTTGCTTTCGGAAGTGCTCCAAGAGATCCTCCTCGGGAAGTCTCGACGAAGGGAAAGGCAGGAATAAAGAAAGTGAGAAGAGGGGCGAAGGGGAGCAGATATCATCTGCGACTATTAAGTTTAAGAGGTGTTTTTCTTTTTTACTTTTTGATTTATGTTCGTTTGTGTGATATTCAGGGATTGACAAAAGAATTTCGTAATTTTTCCGTGTGTTTAATTTTGTCAGTGTGATTGATGGCTGATATAGAAGATATACCTGTCAGTACATCCCGCAGAAGTGAACCCTTCTGCATATTCTATAAAGATACACCTTGCACTTGTAGAGCACTCTGGTGATTTAATTTCTCTTGCCAGAATAAGGAGGTTTGTCAGGCTTTGCCAGTGTATATCAACAAAGTGACGGGCAGCCACTCGTCTCTGTCTCAAGCATGTTGGATTTATAACAAACAATCTTTCCTCATTTATAAGTGGATTGAGATATGACAAGGCCGCAGTAATTACGAGCATAGCTTTACATCCTTCAAATGCAAGTTAGCATTAAGGCTGGCCCACATATTGTAAAAAGAAAATTTATTTAGGCCATTTATTGTATTTCAGGAAACAGGAGGATCACAAACATCAGAATGTATCTTAGCAGCACGCAGTATGAGAATTGGACTTTCCGTGACGAACATGAAGTGGCAAAGTTGCGATTTCAGGCCAATCATGACTTCATTGAAAAATTTGGGAGCAGTATGTCAGTAAGTCTTAATTTATTTGTATTTTTATGGAAAGATTTCTATTTTTTATGCATGTGTTATTGTTAATCCATTCACGCCGGGTGTCACATATACGTGACGGGCCCACTGTGAGTTTACTTGTTTAATTGTTTTCACACATAGATGGCTACATTTGTACTTGTACTGCCTGTCTCGCCTGTTTACCCTTTTCTTTAATTTACGAAAATATCTTATGTTATCTTATTTCGCTGTTACTAATGTTTATAACATTATAGGTATTATAATGTTTATAATAAAAATAACCATCAATAATCATAGCACTAGTAAAAAATACATTTTTCCGCCAATTCAAGTAAAGGTGAAATCAGGTAAGGCAGAGCCATCTAGTGTAGAGACATTTCATTAAAAAATATAAGAAATGAGCACAGTATTTTCCCCATTTTTTTTCATTTTTACCCGGCGTGAATGGGTTAAAGGGGTCCACAGGGACATGAGTAAGGTGCCCATATAGCCTGAGTTAGCGATCCTGGATTATGCTGACTTCTTGGTCTGACAGTCAAGCAAGCATGGATCGACTGAATGGGTTCTCCTTACAGGCCCCCAAAGTCCTGAGTCTTATTCTTGGTCCAGGAGACCTCTTGGCCTAAGGGCTTCACCTCATTGCCAAATGCATTGAGCGCCGCCAACAGTGACTTAAGGGACTCAGATTGGATAGCAACATATTGGGTAAAGTTAAGGTGTGAGACATTAATATTGCCCAGTGTTGCTCCACATTGACTTTGGGTAATAGCTCTGCCCATTATTCAGTCCATGCAGGTGTTGAAAAGTGTTAATGCGAAGACACAGCCTTGCCTCACCCCTGAATTAACAGGGAAGAAGTTCGACAGGCTCCCACCACACTTTACAGCACTTTCAGTACCATCATATAGGCTTGCTATTAGACCAATAATCTGTGTTGGAATTCCTCAAAGTTTTAGAATCTTCCATAGCAATTCTTGATGCACCAAGTCAAAGGCCTTCTTGAGATCAATGTAGGCTGCAAACAACCCACGACCAAACTCATAGTGGCGTTCCACATTTACTCGAAGAGCTAGGATACAGTCTATTGTGGACTTGCCAGTAGTGAATCCTTATTGCTCCGGCCTCTGGTGCCTTAGTAAGTGGTCGCAGATCCATTTCAGAAAAATGTGGGCGAAAACCTTGCCTGGTATGCTTAGCAGTGTAATGCCACGGTAGTTGTTACAGTCCTAATGTTCCCCTTTCCCCTTCTAGAGAGGGATGACTACACCCCTCAACAGGTCAGGGGGAAAGGTACCAGACTGCCAGATGGCAGTCAAGACTGCATGCAAGCCCCATGCCATAGGTTCACCCCTAGACTTTAGCAGTTCAGCAGGGATATCACATATCCCTGCGACTTTCCTACACTTCAGCTTGGAGATTGCAATCCTAACCTCAGTTAGGGTAGGAGGTTCCTCATTGATGGGCAGGTCTGGCGCAGGTATTGTGATACCACTTGCATCCAAGCTAACTGTTGGAGGGTCTACCTGGTACAGCTGCTCAAAATACTCAGCCACACAAATTCACAAATCCCAACATGATCTGAGATGATCTGGTCATCCACTGAGCAGACTGCAGTCATCTGCAAGGAGGGCTTAGAGCTCAGTTTTCTCAAGGCTTGGTAGGCAGGGTGAAGGTCATTTACCAAGAAATGGCTTTCAACCTCCTCAGCAAGTTCCTAATGAATGGTTCCTTGTCCCTTCTCAGCAGTGTCTAAGCCCTATGCACCAAAGAGCGATGCAAATCCTGATTGCCATTCAGCCAAGCCATGTGACACGCTTCAGTGGCCTCTACTGTCTCGGGAGATAGAATTCTGGCTTGCCCTCGGGTGTACGCCAATGGTCTCCTACACTGCATCGAGTTTATTGGGCTTGAAGGACTCCCATAGAGCAACTGGGTCCATCAGGTTTTCAAGTTCTGTGAATCTATCAGAGACTGCCGTGGCGAACCCACAGGCACACTCATCCTCCTTCAGTCTGTCCTAGTGAAACACCCTAGAGTGGCCATTGGAGGGACAAGGAATTTTTAAGCGGTAAACCCTGCAGTTCTGAAGGATCCTTAATCGAGTGCTGACAAGAATGTGGTCGATCTCCTTGGCCACAGTACCCGTATCACTATACCATGTCCAATGATGTGGGTCGGAGCACTGATACCAGGTACCAGAAATCCACATTCTCTGGGACCTAGCAAAGTCCCAGAGGAGAAGGCTATTCTCACAGCTGGGATCAGCTCCCGAGCCATGGGAACCGACAGACATCTCATAGCTAGTTCGAGCACAGCCCGACCAGTAGTAGGGTACCTACCCTTACTGATTATGCCGGTGCCAGGTCTTCTCACTTCCGAGGGGGCAGCCGTCTTAACTCCTAGGCGCTCCAATTCCCTGAATAACAGAGGTAATTGTTCGTCCTACCCAGATAGCTCGCCTGAGGTTAAGCCTTGGGCAGTTGCTCTGGGTGAATGCCACCTCTGCCACTCCCGCCGATGCTGCCCCAAATAAAGGGGGTCGACAGGCTGTGGGGCCCAGCGTCCGCCTATGGGGTTCCGTAGGGTTTTGCCCCACAGGCCTCCTACTGGGTTGGCGCCTGCCAGGGTGCAAGTGGGACAAGTAACTCTCATGAATTATCTGGGGGGAGGAGGGCTGGCAAGGCCAACCACCCCCGAGCTGCCCCTTGACCCGAGGATGGCTGAGGGGCAGGAGTTGGTACGGAGCCAGGGCATGTCCACACACCGTTGGGCCATGACTCCATACCTCTGGAGCCTCCTGCTGCTCCAAGATCCCCCACAATTTAGCCTGGGATCACAAGGTTTCCATGGGTGGCCACAAGGAGGCATTGCAGAAGTCTCGATGATGGAGAGGCTGTGAACTGACAGGGGAGGCTTATGCAGAGCTGTTCCCTTTTTTTCACTAGGCTAGCCAGCAGTGGCAGCTGCAAGCGAGAAGGCGTGCAAGCACTTAACACTATCTAGGCTACTGCTCATCTCCTGTTATTTTTCCTAGATAAAGAAATATCTGTTGGTGCAGATGTTATGAAGCCATGATTTTAGAAGATGCACTTAGCCTAGTGAAGTGATGGACAGATAATACAGTACTGAAGTTAAGCCATTTACAAATAAATTGATACAGAAGTTTGGTATCTTAATATGATAGCAAACTTTTGCATGTATTAGTCTATTTACATGTTAAGCCAAGAGACACTGAATGTAACTACATATTCAGGTTGACTTTTGGTGCCTTTAGGTAAATTTTTTACTTTTTATTTTTTGGATTTTTTTTAGGGGAAACTAAGGCAAATTTAGAAAAAACTCACGTCAATCTCTCTGAATTTTATTGATGTTTATGCTAATTTTTTTCATTGCAAAGTATGCAATTTTGTACCAAAGATGTAGAATGCTAAAATGAACAAAATACCCAATTTTGAAGAGAATCGGTAAGACCTTTTTGATTTTTTTTTTTTATGAAAAAATGTTTATTCCCCTTCACCCCCCATTTTTACCCTGCCACCACTACTTTGAGGGATAGTGCCCTTAAGGCTTGCCCCTTCATCAACTGTCCTATCTAAATTTGATTTCAATGGTTTCCTGACCCCTTCATCCCTATTGTCCTCCTCCCCACAGTAATATCTTACCCCATCTTCTGCCCTATTCCTTCTACTGCTTCCACGTCTGCAAACATTTTGAGTACTCTTCTTGGCGCAGCCAAACGGGATAAATTATATGATTCCCCTACTACCCCATACTCTAACAATACCTTCCTCTTCCAACAATGTCTCTAAAAACAAGTAGGCAAAGTTTTCTTTTGCAGATTTCTACCCTCCTGACATTATTCCTTATACTTCACCACCTTCCCCTGTTCTCTTATTTCATTCTCTGGATTCTTCTTCTATTGCTCCAACTGCCGTTTCTACCCATATTACCCGATGATTGTTTCATAATAGCTCTTTTGTAGTTTCCGTCATACAGTGTTACTCTTCCTTCCTCAGACACATAGTTACTATATATTTGATCTAATCACCCTATACAAATAATCCTGTCCCTTCTTACAAATCCCTGCCATACTCCATTTGCTCTCCCCTCTTTACCCTTTTCACTACCATTCTGTCCTACAGCACTCTACAACCTTTGACATCTGACTGATTTCATCCTTATTGTTAACTAATGTTTTCCCTTTTCACCAGAATACTTGACCATAGTTCCATATGACCTTTGATGTCTAGCATATTTATTTGTTTTAACTAATAACAATTAACCATTATCATCTTATTACATAGTAGGCGTACTGGTGCTGTGAAGAAAAGTGTAAATTTAGGAATTAATCAAAAGCAAGTGCTTAATTTCAAGGTTTCTCAGTTTAAACCAAGCACCACAGATTTATATTCTGTCCCCTTTGGTTTTTGTGATTTTTTTATATACATATGGCTCCACATGTGCTCAGCCGGCAAGGCGTTTATCAGTAAGCCGTAGTGACAGATCCTGATTTCTCCATTCCTTGAATTGGTGAGAAAATGTCTTTTTCTTTTAATACACTTGATATCAATACTGTTATTATTGTTATTGATGTTATTATTATTAAATTGTTATGAAAATCTTGGTAACATTTATGACAATGAAATAATGAAAAAGACCCTTTCCAAAGGTCAAGGAAAAGGGTAAACAGGTGAGATAGATGGGATTAATAACTTGGCGACTAAGCACTTGTACAGCCATCAGTGTAATTATAATAAATAAACTTTTATTACAGTGGGCATGGTATGTATTCTTGTGTGCCAATTGGGTTAAGAGTGTTAGTTGTTATAAATTTTATTACGTTTTTACAGTTACAGGAGAAGATGCAGTTCTTCCTGTCAGTTGAAGAGGAGCACATAATGGTAAGAACTACTGTAATATATCTGAATCACAATCGCAATTTCATTAAAATGTAGGGTGCTGTATGTCAGTACATATCACACTCATATAGGAATTGGCTGTTGGGGAAAAGCAGGGAAAGGTGGGTGAGGGTGGCTAAGTATTGTTGTATATATATATACTCTGAGGTGTGCTATTGATACAATTTCTATTTATTCACTTTTTATGAATAACAAATTTGTACATGAACAGGTACGCACTTACGAATATTCCTTGAGAGACTTTTGCAAAAAATTCCGAGACCCCAGAGATGGAAGAATCAGGATGCCTCCAGCAGTAACAACAACGGCACAACACTACTTTAAGAGATTTTATTTATTCAATTCTGTCATGGATTATCATCCCAAGGAAATTCTGTAAGTTATACTTTAACCAGTAGGAAAGATATTAGTGTATATCTCTATCAACCTATGTACTTATATATATATGTGTGTGGGTGTGTGTATATATATATATATATATATATATATATATATATATATATATATACATATATACATATATACATATATATATATACATATATACATATATACATATATACATATATATATATACATATATACATATATACATATATACATATATACATATATACATATATACATATATACATATATACATATATACATATATACATATATACATATATACATATATACATATATACATATATACATATATACATATATACATATATACATATATACATATATACATATATAGTTAGATACATTATATATATACACATATACTCATATATATAATACATATATACATATATACATATATACATATATACATATATCATATATACATATATACATATATATATATACATATATACATATATATATATACATATATACTATATATATATACATATATACATATATATATATACATATATACATATATCATTATATATACATATATACATATATATATATACATATATACATATATATATATACATATATACATATATATATATAATACATATATACAGTATATATATACATATATACATATAATAGATACATATATATATATATATATAATACATATATTCTATATATAGATACATATATATATATATATATATATATATATATTATATATACATATAATATATATATACTATATATATATATATAGTCGGCTAGATATATCTCCATATACTCTATCTATCTATATATCTAATATAATAATATGTCATACAGATTCCCTATATTATCTATATCTAATATAATACCTCTATGTCTATATATATATCATCTCTATATCTAGTAATCTATATATATAGCTATCTATGTCTACTATCTATATACACTTACTCTCTATATCGCTCTCTATAATATCTCTATGTCTATATATATCTACCTACTATATCTATATCTATATCTCTATAGATATATATATAATATCTATATATCCTATATATCTATAATTATATATATATGTATATATATATAAACATAGATATATATATAAATAGATAGTATCTGCACGGTATATCTCATATCATATATTAGAATCTATCTAAGTATATATCTAAACCTATATATCTCTCTATAGCTCCTATATATAATATGTAATATCTCTATCCCTATCCTCTCTATCTATAATCTATATCTTTGAGTCTAATCTATATATACCTCTCTAATTCTATCTATCATATATATATATTTATAATATATAGCCCTAATCTCACTATCTCATCTACTCTTATATATAGAGTATATCTATATTACCCTCTCTATATATATCTTCTATATCCTGTTATATATATATCTACTAGATATATCTTCTACTATAATACGCTATACATATGTCTAGGATCTAATCCATCTCTATATCTATATCTAATATCTATATCTCTCTCTATATTATCTCTCTCTCTAATATCTCTTATCTCTCTCTCTAATCTATAGCTATGATATACTTAATATCCCTCTATCTCATCTCATCGTATATATCTATCGTGTTCTAATATTCTCCAATATAGATATCGATCTAGCTCTATATCTCTCTATCTCTCCATCGCTGTCTATCTACTCTCTCCCCTAATCATATCTATATATAGATATATAGCTATGTCTCTCGTCTCTCTCCCTATACATCTCTCTCCCTATCCTATCTCTCTTCTCTTCGCTCGACCTATATCTCTCTATACCTATACGATCTAGAGTGTAGCTCCTCTCTCACAACGTCACCTCTATCCCTCTCTCTCTCATCTCTCTCTCTCGCGCGTCTCTCTCTCTCATCGCTGTCTCCTCTATATCTACCTCTATCTCATTCCCATCTCTCCTATCTATCTGTCTATCGCTACATCTCTGTCTCCTCTCTCTCTCCAACTTCATCTCTCCTATAGATATATAGGTCTATATTATATACATATATATCTAATAAAACCCTATAATATAATATAGTATATAACTCTCTATGTATGCTATATATCATATGTATCTCTAGGTCATATCCATATCTATATATATCTATCTCTATAATGGATATATAATCAATCATATATTCGGTAGTATATAAATATCTCTATATATATTTAGATCGGTCTCTCTACCGTCTATCTCTCATAGCTATCTATCTAATCTGCTCTCTTATTCTAGCCTATCCTCATCTCTTATCATCGCATCTATTCTTCTCTCATCTCTCCTCCCTCTATCTCTCTATCTCTCTCTCTCTCTCTCTCTGTCTTCCTCTCTTCCGTATATACTCTCTATCTTCTCTCTCTCTACATCTCTCTCTCTATCGCTCTCTGATCCTCTCTCTCTCTGGTCTCTGCTATCGTCTCTCTCTCTCTCCTCTCTTCTCTCTCTATAGATCCCTCTACTCCTATCTTCTCTCTCTCGTTCCCCCTCTATATGTCTTCTCTCGCTCCTCTCTATTCTGTTCTCTCTCTCTCTCCCTCTCTCCTCTGTATCTCTCTCTCTCTCCCTCCTCTCTCTATCTCTCTCTCTCTCCCGTATCTAAGTCTCTCTCTTCCCTCTCTCTCCATGTCTCTCTCTGTCTCTCTCCCTCATCTCTCCCCATCTCCTCTGTCTCTCTCCTCTCGCTCCTCTCTTACTCTGTCATCTCTCCCATCTCTATCCTCTCCGAGATAGGGTAGAATACAATCTATACATATCTATACTATGATAGGGTTATACATATATATACATATAGATATACATATATATACAATATATAATACGTATTATGTAGCTATCCGCCCTCCTTCTCTCTGTATCATCCCTCTATCTCGCTGTACTCTCTCTCTGTCATCTGTCTACTCTCCATCTCTATCTCTGTCTCTCTATCTCTCGTAATAGTCGCAATCACTCTCTACATCATACTATCTACTCTCACCTCTCTCTCCAGGATCTCTACATCATTCCTCATGATATATCTCCACTCTCTCTCCTCTATATACCTCGATCCTCTCTGATATCTATACATAGTAGATATCTCTCCCCCTCTAAATTCTCTATGTCTCTATCCATATACTCAAATATATCCTCTGTATCTCTAGCTCTGTCTCTACTATGTATATATCTCTGTAATATCTGTCTAGTAGTAACTCTCCTTATTAAGCTCTCTGTTTATACATCTACTATCCCTCTATCCTATGTATAACTATCTATCTCTCCTGTATCCTCTCTCATACCTTCTCATCTCTCCTCTACTGTCGTCGTTCTATCTTACCTATTCATATTGTATCTATCTATCTACACTATACTCTCGGTCTATAGATCTCTACATATCTGATCTATGTCTCTATCTATATACATATCTATCTCTGTATCTATATATAACTATATAAGAGCTGTATTATATCTCTACATCTTTATGTATCTCTCTCTATAACCTCAGCTATTCATGTCCTCGTCGATTCCCATCTATCATATAATTATATAACAGTCTCGCTCTCCTCCATCTCGCTCTCGTTCCTACCTCTATCAATATCTCCCTCTAACTATGCCTCATCTTCCTCTCTCTCTCCCGATCCTATCTCTTTCATCTCCTCTCATCTCCTACTCCTCTCTCTCTAGGTCATCTCTCCCTCTCTCTCTCTGCTGCTCTCTACTCTCGTCTCTGTCTATCTCTCTCTCTCTGTCTCTCTCTCTTCCGCTGTCTCATCATCTCTCTCTGTTCTCTCAATCTCTCTCATTTCTCTCTCTCTCTCATTTCATCTTCTCCTCTCTGGGCTCTCCTCTCTCCTAGTCCTCCTCTCTCTACTTCCGCAATCATCTCCTCTCTCAAATGTCTCTATCTCTCTCTCGAGTCTCTCTCTCGATCTCTGCTCTCTCTCTCTCTACTTCAGGTCTACTCTCCTCTCGCGCTTCTCATCTCTCCTCTACATCTGTCTCTCCTCCGCTCTGTCTCTCTTCTCTCTCATAGTCTCTCTCGCCCTCTGTCTTCCTCTCGTCAGCTCATGATCGAATCGTCTCTCTCAGTTGTCTCGTCTCCCTTCTCTAAGTCCTCTCGCTCATCTCTGTCATAGGCATCCGCTCCTCCTCGGTCTCCTCTACTCTAAGCTCTAGTCTCCTCTTAACTCTTCGTCTCTCTCATTCATATCTGTCTTCCACGCTCCTCTGTCTCTCTCTTCTCATCTCGTCATCTCTCTCTCTCTCCTGATCTCTCATCTCTCCTTCATCGTCTCATCCCTCATCTGCATACTCTCCTCACTCTCTCGTGCTCGCGCTCTCTCATCTCCTTCTCTCACATCTCCCTCTCTGTCTCTCAACTCATATCAGTCATATGTCATCTCTCTCTCCTCTCTCGGTCTCCTCCTACTCTTACTACTCTGTCTTCTCTATCTCTATCTGAAATAATCTCTCTCTCTCTCCTGTCTCTCTTCTCTCTCTGTCATTCTCTGCTCATCTCTTGTCTCTCTCGCTCTCTCTCTCTGTCTACTCTCAGCTCTCATCCTTCTCGTCGTCTCTCATGTCATAAGTCTCGTCTCTCGCTCTGTCTGCTCTTCATCTCGCTGTCTCCTATCGCCTTCATCTGTCTCCGCTCCTCTCTCGTGTCGGCTACGCTCATCTCATCTGTTCTAATCGCTCTCTCTGTCTCTCTCTCTCTCTCTGGTCTCTCATCTTTCTCGTCTCGCTCATCCCTGTCTCTCTCGCTCGCTCGTCATCTCTCTCCTCTCTCTGTCATCTCTCTCTACTCACCGTCCTGTCATCGCTCTCTCTTCTCTATCCCTCTCTCTCTCTGTCTGTCTCAAGCTCTCCCTCTCTCCCCTCTCTCTCTCCTCTCATCTCTCTCTCTGTCTCTCTCTCTTCTGTCTTCAGCTTCTCTCTATGATCGTCTCTCAACTCTCTGTCTGTCTCTTTCTCTCTGTCCTGTACTCTGTCTCTCTCTGTCTCAATGTCTCTCCTGTCTCACTGTCTCTCTCTTCGTCGCTGTCTCTCCGGTATCTGTCTACCTCTGTACTAAAGGTCCTCTCTCTCTCTCTTCTGTCTGGATACTGCTCTGTCTGTCTGTTCTAGATCTGTTCGTCTGATGCTAGAACTGTTCTGTATCACTCTGTGTCTATCTCTTCTCTCTCCCTGCTCTTCATCTCTCTCTCTCCTCTATCTCTTCCGTCTCTCTCTCTCTCGCTCTCTTCTCGTTGTGTGTGTCCCCCAGTCCCCCCCTTCTCCGCCCCTCCTGGGCCTGCGCCGCTGTTTTCCGTCACCTTTTGTTTGTCTTATCGCCCGTCGGAATCTCCAGTACCCGTTTGCCCCGGGTTTTACAGTTTTGTTTCCCTGGACCGACACTCACCCGGATCTAAAGCCCTCACCTGGCCAGTCATGCTTTTAATCTGCTAGGTCCCCGTTATTCCTCACCCCTTTAAAGGACAAAAGCGAATAGATCATTCCCCCGCCAACTGCGAGTGACCCGCAACTGAGGCTAGGGAGGTGCCCGGCGCAGGGGCGCGCGGAGGGGCACACGGGTGGCAGACCGTGAACCCGAGGTCGCAATGGCCTGGAAGGGGAAGGTTGCTGAGCATCTTCAAACATGGTGTGTGGGGACTTTATAGGGAAAGTTGGGGTGGGGGAATGGGATGTCTGAAAAGGTGCAGAAGGAGAAAGGGTGTCTTAGTAGAGGACTCTCTGGATAGCGCTTCTAGATATCCTACCCCCGCGCTCTCTCTCATCATCTCTCCCCCTCTAATCTCTCCTCTCTCTCTCCCCCTCTACTCTATCTCTCTCTCTCCCCCTCTATCTCAGATCGCTGTACTCCCCTCTCTCTCATCTTCTCTCGCTCCCCCTCTATCTCCTCTCGCTCTCTCTCGCCCCCTCTACCTTCTCTCCTCGTCCCCTCGCTCTCTTCCTCTCCCTCCCCCTCTCTTCTCTACTTCTCTCCACCCTCACTCTCTCTCCCTTCTCTCTCCTCTCTCTCATCTCTCCCCCTCTCTTCTCTCTACTCTCCTCCACCCCTCTCTCTCTCTCTTCTCCTCTTCCCCCTCATCTTCTCTCTTCTCTCGCTCCCCCCTCTCTCTCTCTCTCAATCTCTCTCCCCCTCTCTCTCTCCTCCTCTCTCCCCCTATCTCCTCTCTCACTCTCTGCCCCATCTCCTCTCTCTCATCTCTCGTCCCACCTCTCCTGTCTCATCGATCCTCTCCCATCTCTCTCGCCCTCATGCCTCTCCCCCTCTCCGGCTCTCGCTCTCTCTCTCCCCCTCTCTCTCTCTCTCGCTCTCTCCCCCTCTCTCGTCATCCTCTCTCCTCTCTCGCCCCCTCCTCTCTCAATCTCTCCCTCTCTCCCCCCTCTCTCTCTCTCTCCTCCCGCTCCCCCTCTCTTCTCTCTCTCCTTCTCCCTTCGCGCTTCTCCTCATCTCCCCTCTCTCTTCTCCTCTCCCTCTCCCCCGCTCTCGCTCTCTACTCTCTCTCCCCCTCTCTCTCTCTCTCTCTCCTCCCCCCTGCTCGCTCTCTCTCTGCTCTCCCCCTCTCTCTCGCTCAGCTCGTCTCCTCCCCCCTCTCCTCTCTCTCTCTCCTCCCCCCTTCTCTCTCTCTCCTCCTTCGACTCCATCTCTCTCTCTCTCTCTCTCCCCCCTCTTCTCTCTCTCTCTCTCCCCCCCTCTCTCTCCTTCTCTCCCCCTCGCTTCCCCTCTCTCACTCTCCCCCTCTCTCTCTCTCTCTCTCCACCCCCCTCTCCCCCTCTCTCTCTCCCCCTCTCCCATCTCTCTTCTCTCTCCCCTCTCTCTCTCTCTCTCTATCCCCCTCTCGCTCTCTTCTCTCCTCTTTTTCTCTCCCCCTCTCCTCTCGTTTCTCTCTCCCCCTCTCCTCTCTTTTCTCTCCCCTCTCCTCTCATTTTTCGCTCCCCCCTCTCCTCTCTTTTTCTCTCCCCCCCTCCTCATCTTTTTTCTCTCCCCCTCCTCTCTATTTTTCTCCCCCTCTCCTTTACCCCCTCTCATTATTTCCCTCTCCCCCTCTCCTCGCTTTTCTCTCCCCCATCTCTTCTATATTTTCTCTCCCCCCTCTACTCTCTTTCTCTCCCCCTCTCTCATCTTTTTCTCTCCCCCTCTCCTCTCTTTTTCCTCTCCCCCCTCTCCTCTCGTTTTCTCGTCCCCCTCTCCTCCTCTTTTTTCTCCTCTCCCCCTCATCCTCTCTTTTCTCTCCCCCTCTCCTTTCCTTTTTCTCTCCCCCTCTCCTCCCTTTTTCTCTCCCGCCTCTCCTTCTTTTCTCCCACCTCCTCCTCTCGTTTTCTCCATCCCCTCTCCTCTCTTTTTTTCTCTCTCCCCCTCTCCTCTCTTTTTCTCTCCCCCGCTCCTCTTCCTTTTTCTCTCCCCCATTCCTCTCCTTTTTCTCTCCCACCACGCTCTCTTTTTCTCGCCCCCCCTCTCTTTTTTCCTCTCCCCCCTCTCCTCTCTCTTTTCTCTCCCCCTGCTCCTCCTCTTTTTTTCTCTCCCCCTCGCTACTTTTTTCTCTCTCCTCTTTTTCTCTCTCTCTCTTTTCCCTCCCTCCCTGTTTCCGCCCTGTCTTTTCTCTGTCTCGGTAGTCTTTTCCTACTTTGTGTACGCCGGTGTGTGTGCCTGTTTTCTCTCTCCGCTGTGCTTTTTTTCCAATAAGCGGGTCTTGCGATCCAACAGGGCAAGGTCTGCGGGGGTCAGGCCCAGCCTGATTAGTGTTTTTCTTCTACCATTGTCGGTCCACCGCAGTCCATTTGTTTCTTTAACGTCTCAGTGTGGGCCAGTTCCTCTCTTTGATTGTTTGCTGCATTTCACGTTGAATGCTGTTGTTCTTGAGATCTACGGTGGGCAGAGGACCTGGGGATATCGTGCTTGTACCCTTGCGAGTTTTAGGTCCCATCACTGATTTTGTTCACCGTAGAGGAGAGCCGCCAAAGCGGCCGAGATTATTGGAAACATGAACGGCAGCTACCACCAGCGTTCCCAGTTCCTCTCCGTAGTCATCAACCGTCCGCCACATTAAGAAGGCGGTGCGCAGGGACTTAAGGTCGGTTGTTCTTTATTATAGGCGTCCGGGAAGTGCGAGCAGGGGAATAGCCAGACCCGCGAACAAGGGATCGGCGCGAAGGAATGCATGAGGGGAACCAGGGAGGAGATGCCAAGAAGTAAGTACGGGGAGCCGGGGTGTAGGCTCGCAGGCAGACAAAGGTGCCCACAGGGAAGAGAGCCAGAAAGAAGGCGAGCCCCAGGGGGAAGAGGGCCGTGAAAGGGAACGGACGGAGCAGTGATTCGAGAGACTCCTGGTCAGGAGCCGGCCGGGGAGGGACGGACCGGGGAAGGGGGGGGAGGAGGGGGGAGTCAGACTCGAGGTGAAGACAGAGAATGGGAAGAAAGGAAGGAATAAAGGGATGAAGGTGGTATTAACAGGAACCCATTGGAAGTCCAGGGTGCCTTGCAGGGCATCACAAACCAAAGGGGGAGGCCGGGAGGCGGGCGGGAAGTGGCAAGGCGCCTGGGGGGGGGGGCGGAGAGGCCAGCAACATGAACACTCCAAGCCGACGTCAGACTCTGCCTCCACTGTGCAGGGGGGTAAGGACAAGTAGGGGGGATAAAGACAAATAAGGCGATGCAGGGGCCGAAGGACGGATGGGGGTTAGGGGTTATCGGTAGCAAAGAATGATAATAGCTGGGGGTGAAAGGGAGCATCGTCCCTAGGAGATCGCCTGGCTGGCACCATGGCAATAACGAACCCGAGTAACAGGAAAAGTTTTATTTGGTTGAGAGAACACTAGGATCGAGGAGACGTGAATGCTCACGCAAGAAAAAATTTGGCTTGAGAAGTGGGTGGCATAAATATGGCTTCATGGGAAAATCTGGCTGTGGGCAGGGGTGACATGAATTGGCTGTTGTAAGCATTTTGGCTAAAGGCAGGGGTGAAGGGAAACACTTACCATAAGTGCACAAAGGCAGGGGTGAAGGGAAACACTTACCATAAGTGCACAAAGGCAGGGGTGAAGGGAAACACTTACCATAAGTGCACAAAGGCAGGGGTGAAGGGAAACACTTACCATAAGTGCACAAAGGCAGGGGTGAAGGGAAACACTTACCATAAGTGCACAAAGGCAGGGGTGAAGGGAAACACTTACCATAAGTGCACAAAGCTCCTGGAGGGTGATTGGACTCATTTGACATTTAGGAAGGGTTTTTTGCATTATTTCCATTGTTAACCCATTTGCGCCGGGTAAAAATGAACAAAAAATGGGGGAAATGCTGTGTTCATTTTTTATATTTTTAATGAAATTTCTCTACACTAGATGGTTCTGCTTTACCGGATTTCATTTGGTGGGATAATGTACTTTTACTAGTGCTGTTAATATCGATGGTTATTTTTATTATAAACATTATAGTTACTCTAATGTTATAAACATTAGTAACAGCAAAATAAGATAACGCAAAAAATATTCGTAAATTAAAGAAAAGGGTAAACAGACGAGACAGGCAGTACAAGTGCAAGTGGAGCCATCTGTGTTTGTAAACAATCAAACAAGTGAACTCAAAGTGGGCCCGTCACGTATACGTGACGCCCGGCGCGAATGGGTTAAACGATTGTGGAATGTAATGTCTGTGACCCATGACTGAAAATGTGCCGGCTCTGGGGATGACATTAATTCCATGCTCAGGTGCATATTCCTTGCCACTGTGACCAGCGGCGCAGGTTATATTATAGAAAATTGATTATTACAAAAAAATAACAGAAATAACAAATAAGTATTACTTCTGTTATTCTTCCAGTGAGTTGTGGTTTACCTAGAGAGATCATCTATTATCATCAGGATAAAGCAAATCAAATAACAAATATAGACATTGGAAAATTAATTAAAAACTAAAAATGCTTATACATAAAAAGAAAATGGCATTGTGAAAGGGAGGTATAGAGTCGTCATCTCATGCAAGTGCTGATTAATGAAATCCTAATATATCTGTGACAGATTGCTTTAGCTGCGGTGACAACAGCTGTGAGCAGGTTAGGGGAAAACCTAGACCAGTATGTCACCGATATCCTCTTCCCAAATGACCAAAGACTGCATCTGAAAGTCCTTATAGATGCTGTGAGAAGTAAGCTTTAAATGGATATTTATTATCATATGTATTCATTTTGAATATGGCTATTGTTGTCAGTAAATAATCAGGATATTTTTCATTTTGTATTTATGAAGTAATGGGTGACGTAAGTTTTTGTCAATTAAAGAGAGAAAAAGCAGGATAAAGTGCTTTACTCACAATACACTAGGCAGTTTGTAACCATATTTAATTTTCCAAAGCCAAGTATTCCTTATGAGTTCAGCCAATGTAAACAAGGGTAGACCACATTCTCAAACCCATCATTTTTCCCAGAAATCAAGAAGATGGTTAAGAATGCTGAACCTCCTGCCTCAGACACAGTGCGGCGTGAGATTGAGGGCAAGTTAGAGAAGTGCAGAAATCAGCAAAACAATCCAAATTCATCCCAGTACCGGGCAAACTACTCAGAATGGGATGATGATGAAGTGATGATGGCTGCTTCCCCAATGCAGGAAGACACAGCTCTTGGAGTAGAGAGAATACGATCACCATCAAACTATTAACTTATTGTTTTTTTTCTCATATATCATTTACTGGATTATTTGTGTAAAGTGTGAAAGTAATTTCTGAAAGTTATAGGAAAACCTTTGTTTTTTTCTATCTTATGGCGTGAGAGAGGGAAGAAAAAAATTAGATGTATGTTAAAATGAAAAACTTTTTATTTTAAACTCCTTCTAATGAAAAGATGGAAAAATAAAGAAATTGTCCAAAAGAACATACTCAAATTGAATGAATATTAACGAGGCATGGTATAACGCATTGAATGTTTAGTTTTGCATAAAAAAATATTTTTCTGTTCCATTAGATTTAGAAGAATATATAGAATAATATAAAATGTTTGCATAATCAAGCTTCAACAAAAATCCATTTTAGGGCAACAAAAATAGAATTCATCCATGTGGAGGGTGCTGACTACTATATATGAATAAGGAGATTAACCCAAGGTATTTTTTTCCTCCTGTGTGATAAGCCAAATCTGAAAGCCCATTTACAAATTTATGGACTGTGCCCAAAAGACTTCCATGATACAATACTAGGACTGATGCATTTATAAGTGCAATTTTAAATCATTACCATTATCCTGGGGATAACTGCTAAACTAGTGAAAGTTAAAGAGAAATAAAGTTGTAATTATTAACCGTTTCTCATTTATGCAAATATCTACACCATATACTAAAAGGAAAAAAGAGTTAATGGATATTTAAATATGGAAAAGAAAATAAGGCAGAGGAAGGAAAGATTTGGCAATGAGGTAATGCGAGTTTGTTGAAAGAGATTATATATTCCATTTGTTTCATTAACAAAATCTATTTATCTTAACACATGATACTTATCAACATGTTGGCTGTGGAATGAAAAAACAATGATCATTAACCTTTCTTATAAGGATTGCCCCTGAAAACAAAAAACCTACTGTGAGGGTAGACAAAAAAGTAACCAACTGAGATAAATAAATATTTCACAATATCTCCCCAATCCCTTTCCCACTGTTGTTGTGGGAGGCTTAAGAGATGGTGACTGAACCCCAAGGACCTTGGACCTCAGCCCTTGCCTCAACAAATTTTGCATGGTCTTCTCTTCTCCCTTTTTACATTTTCATTCCCTTCTATCCACTTCCTATGGCGTGTGAACCATTCTCAAAGGATGAAAGGCTGGCTTTGTGTCAGTCATGAACAGCTTGCGGGAGCTATAAGCATGTTATTCCTCTGGTTAATTATCCAGCCCTTACCCCTTATGGGGTGCCTGAGGGTAGAATGTATCTTCTCATTTATTTCAGGCTCACCATGGCCAATATTGTTGATTTTTTTTTTTTTTTTTATCCTTATTAGGGGCATTAAGGCTTCATCAACTAGCCACCCCCCAATCCCTTGCCCGTTGTTGTCGTGGGGGGGCTTAGGAGGCGGAGACTGGGACCCAATGATGGGGAACTCCCCAACCTTGGGACTCAGCCCTCGACTCAACTAATTATGCATGGTCTTTTTTTTCCCTTCCCACTTTTGTTTCTGTCCCTTCACCAAACCCTTCTGCTATCCACCTCCTAAGGTGTGAGAGCCGTGCTGAAAGGATGAAAGGCTGACTTTGTGCCAGTCCTGAACGGCCTGAGGGAGCCATGGGCACGGTATTCCCCTGATTTAGTTATCTAGCCCTTACCCCTCAAGGGGACCCTGAGGGGTGGACTGCTTTTATCCCCAACATAATCCAGGCTTCCCATGGCCAGTAATGAAAATATATCCCCACTGTTAGGGGCAATGAGGCTTGCCCCTTTATCAAATAGCCCCAACAAAGTAAACCCACCCGATTCCCCGACCCCAGGCTCTCCTTTGACCACGGCTCCAAACACTGCAATAACTACCCCTTCACCAATGCCTACTAGTACAGTAGCCAACAATCAACCCTCAAGGAACATTTCCACTCTCCCAGCATGCCCAACTTCAACGCCTCTACCCCCACAACCTCCAACATCAACCACCCCATCCTCCCTTATTAATACCTTACAGCCTTATAGCCCACCTCTCCATAACACTACCTCCATCAACACTACTCCATCTTCGTCACGCCCTCGCCCTTCTACCACCCCTATCTCTAAAACAATCTTGAATACTCTCTTCAGTGCAGCCAAATGGGACCGATTTTTCGTGATCCCTCCCACAGCTCCCTACTCTGACAACACCCTTCTCTTCCAACAATGCCTCCAAAAACAAGTAGGTAAAGTCTCTTTCCGTAGCCGACCCGACCGCTCCCGTCTTGTAACAGTAACATCCGAAAACCAAGCCATAGCATTAACAAAACTAACTGACCTATATGGTAACCCCATCCTAGCAGAACCCCATCCAACCCTCAATACTTGCACCAGAACAATCTCAATCTCACCAACAAATTGCCCAATCTATGACAAAGATTGGTCAGATTGTGGAGATCTACTTGCCTGTCTCACAGACTACGATGCAACATCAGTACAATGCTATTCCATCCCCCCCAGAGGTCATCGAAAGAAACCCACTAACATAGCCAAAATTACCTTCCGTAGACATGACATTCCCTTTAACGTCTACATAGGAGGAGAATCCCTCCCTGTTCGTCCATACCAACCTCCTCCACGTCAGTGCCAAAATTGTTGGCGTCTAGGACACCCAGCCAAACACTGCCGTTCCACAGCCAGATGCCCATTATGTGCCCAACCTGGCCATACCCGATCTAACTGCTCTGCACAATCACGCACATGTGCCAACTGTGGCGGCCCCCATAATGTATTTTATAGGGGCTGTCCCACCTACAAATTTGAATCTGAGGTAGCAACTCTCAGATTCAAACTCGGACTCACACTGCGTGAAGCCAGACAGGAAGCACGTCGACGTGGATTCTCTCTTACTCCTTACTCCAGTAATACTGCTCATTCTAACACTTCTCCTAAACCCACCCCTCCTACATCTAACCCCCCCACTAACCCCACCTACCTTCCCCAGTCAAACTCTTTTGCCATCCTAAATCCAGAAACTCCAATCTCTACTACAGATACTCCAATCACCACTACAACCCCAACACATTCCCCTCTCCCTCCTCGCACTCCCCGTAACAGACAGAACAAACGTTCCACCCCCTCTTCCCCTACCACACAATCACCCCCACCATCCTTTGCCCGTACTCTTGAGACACCAGTCCTCTCTTCCCCCCCTCACAAGAAATCCTTTATCCCCCAAAACTCCCCAACCAACTCCACAGAAGAAACTATTGAAAATATTCAAGATTACTTAATGAAAACCGACACTCAACCTACAACTCCTGCTCCTTCCACGCTCCAAGTAATTGCTGATATCCATCCTCCTCCTAACGATATCCCCCCTACACCCTACCCTCCTACCCCCTCCCAACACAGCCCATCCCCCCTGACCCCAACCCTGCCCACATTAACTCTCCCACCATCCCCTCTATCCCTTCCACTCCCTCCTGGATACACACGTGAATCCCTTATGTCACAAGTATCCCCTTCCTCAGACCCTCCATCTCCTAATACCCCTCCTGATAGAACACCAACTCCCACACCTCTCCCATCTCAAACCTCTCAGTCCTTATCCCACCCTCTAGCTGCTTCCCCTTCAAATTCTCCAACACGTACTACAATCTATATCACTAAATCAACGAAAGTATAACTATCCTTCATTGGAATATTCGCGGTTTCCGCTCCCACAGACCTGACCATCATATCCTTTCCTCTTATAACCCATCTATTGTATGCCTTCAAGAAACCTTTCTTATGCATACCCTTTATCTAATATAACACCCGACCTTAACCCTTTCACTCTCTAATTCCTTTGCCCAGCTTAGACAACTAATCACTAACTCAACCACCCTTCACTAACATTAACTATAGTGCTACATGACCTTAGATGTCTAGCACATTTATCTTGCTTTTAACCATTAACCATTAACCATTCAACTAGCCTAAATCTAAATTTCATCTCTCTGGTTTCCCAACCACTGCCTCTCCACAGATCACAACTTCAACCACTGATACTAGTACCCCCTCCTCGATGTTTGTTGTTAACTCTATACATTTTGAGTCATTCACCCAGGTTATTATTCAACCTGAATACAGCCCTTCCCCCCTAATACCTAGTTCAGTGTTGTCGTGGGGGGCTTAGGAGACAGACTAGGGCCCAATGTAGGATCATCCCTACCTTGGACCTCAGCCCTTGCCTCAACCAATTTTGCTTGGTCTTTTCTTCTCCCCCTCTCCTTTTCCTTCTCATTATCCCCTTCTACCCACTTCCTAAGGTGTGAGAACCGTGTTGAAAGGATGAAAGGCTGGTTTGAATGGCCTTCAGTAGCATGGGCACGGTATTCCTTTGGTCAATCACCTAGCCATTACCTCTAATGGGGACAATAAGGGGTTGACTGTTTCCTCTCTCCATTTATTTTAGGCTCATCATGGTCAAGGTTTTTTGCCTTTTGAGGAGCATTAAGGCTTGCCCCTTTATCAACTTGCTTACATAAATTTGATTTCATTGGTTTCCCAACCCTTGCCTCTCCTTTGGCCACAGGTCTGATCACTGATACCCCTTCCTTGCAGAACACCATCCAACCCTCAATACTTGCACTGGAACTGTAGACTAACAAAAACTGGTCAGATTGTTGAGAAGACTTACTCGTCTGTCTCACGGACCATGATATGATATCAGCACAATGGTACTCCATTCCTCCCAGAGGTCATCGTAAGAACCCCACTAACATTGCCAAAATTACTTTTTTCGTAGACATGACCTTCCCTTTAACGTTTACATAGGTAGAGAATCCATCCCTGTCCATCCATACCAACCTCCTCCTCGTCAGTGCCAAAATTGTTAGTGTTTAGGACATCTTGCCAGATATTGTCATTCCACAGCCAGATGGTCACATGGCCATAGTCGATCAAACTGCTCTGCACAATCACGCACATGTACCAACCGTGGCGGCCCCCATAATGTATTTTATAGGGGCTGCCCCACCTACAAATTTGAGTCTGAGGGAGCAACTCTCAGATTCAGACTTGGACCCACTCTACGTGAAGCCACACAGGAAGTACGTTGACGAGGTTTTTCTCTTACTCCCTACTCCAATAATGTCGCTCACTCTGCCAGTCCCCCTACCTCCCAAGTTCCTACACCCTCCCCTAAACCTATCCCTCCTCCATCTAACTTCCCCTCTTCTACTTGCTACCTCCCCCAGTCAAATTCTTTTGTCATCCTAAATCCAGACACTCCAATCTCTACTACAGCCCCAACACCTTCCCCTCTCCCTCTCCGCACTACCCGCAACAGACAGACTAAACATTCCACCCCCTCTTCCCCTACCACACAATCACCAGCACCTTCCTTTGCCCCTACTCTTCAGACACCAGTCTTCTCTCCCCCCCCCCCAAGAAAACCGTTGTCTTAAAAAACTCCCCAACTAACACCATTACAGAAACTATCTACTGAACTGACTATCAAACTGACATTGAAACCCCTCATCCACCTTCAAATTCCACTGTCGTGATCTACAAAGTTAACTTCGACCCTTGTACGAAATATTTGGGCTGCCACCACCTGGTTAATTCGTCCAGGAACGTATGTGTCATGTTCGGAAAGTGAGAGGCATGTAGAAGAGTGTAGGTAAGTTAAA